GGAGTTACGAGTACACGGTCATGCATTTTGGCTTAACAAAAGCACCTTCGACGTTCCAGTTGACCATGAACGAGGTTTTTCGGCCGCTGCTGGATAAATGCGTCATCGTGTACCTCGACGACATCCTGATATACAGCACTACCCGGGAGTAGCATTTGAAGGATTTGGAAGCAACTTTCTCTCTCTTACAACAGCACCGACTCATCACCAAGGGCTCTAAGTGCGAGTTTCTATGATATGAACTGGAGTTTTTGGGCCACGTCATTTCCATCGACAGAGTTAAAATCGACCCCAATAAGATTGCGACCATCCAAGACTGAAAGCCGTCGGCTAATCTCTGTGAACTTCAACGTTTTCTAGGGTTTGTGAATTACGTTCGCCGGTTCATCCTGAACATGGCGGGGGTAACTTCCCCTCTCGCGGATCTTTTGAAGAAAGGCAAGTATTATGAGTGGAGAGCAGCAGGCTGCATTCGAACAGCTCAAACTTTTTCCGACTACACCTCCGGTTCTTCGAATTGCGGATCCTCACAGTCCGTTTGAGCTCATCACCGACGCTAGCGACCTGGCCGTTGGCGCAATACTATTACAAGACTTCGGCGACGGCCTCTAACCCATCGCCTACGAGTCACGAAAGCTGAACCCGGCCAAGCGAAATTATCCTGTCCACGACAAGGAGTTACTCGCCATCGTTCACGCTTCCAAGGTCTGGCGCTGCTACTTGACGGGCGCTAACGTGATAGTCCGAATAGACCACAAATCGCTACAGTTCATCCACGCCCAACCGACACTGGATCCTCGACAGATTCACTAGCTTGACTACCTCGAGTCCAACTTCCACTACAGAGTCACCTACAAACAGGGGGTTAGCAACATCGCCGACGCACTGACCCGCCCTTCAGTCCACACCGCCGCAGTCCTAATTACCCAAGCTAATCTGCTGCTAATTGGCCTATTCACCTACGGATACAGTACTGACCCATTTTTCACCACTAATAGTCATCCCTAACTGACGGACAAGCAAGGGGCCTACTATTACCTAAAATCCGGTACCAATCGGATTTGGGTTCCCGCCTACCGAACCCTACGTGAACTACTGATCCAGGAGGCACACGACTCGAATTTCTCGGGTCACTACGGCATCGACAAAACCGCCAAGTTACTGAGCCGTAATCATTACTGGCCCAATTTGCCGACAGACGTGCAACAGTAAGACACCTCCTGCGCCACGTGTCAACGCATGAAGTCTTCACGGCTTCGACCCGCTGGATTGCTGCAGCCGCTCGAGTCACCCAACCGACCTTGGCAACAGGTGACAATGGATTTCGTCACTGGCCTGCCAGCTGGTCCAAGCAGTAACAACACAATTCTCGTCGTCGTTGACCAGTTGACCAAGATGGCTCACATCGCCGCCTGCAAGACAACGATTACTGCCGAGTAGACAGCAAAACTGTTCCTCACGAACATCGTGCGGCTACATGGCATCCCTTTGGCAATCATCAGCAATCGTGACCCACGGTTCACGTCCAACCTCTGGACAAAAACCTGGCAGCAGTATATAGCATACGTCTGCATCTGTCCACGGCGTACCACCCGCAATCGGACGGCCAGACTAAGCACACCAATCAGACGATGGAGCAGCTGATTCGCACGACGTGCACGGACCTGGCCCAATGGGAAGACTCCCTTCCCTTGATCGAGTTTGCATACAACAACGCCCCATCGGCCATGATTACCTAGTCCCCGTTCTTCCTCAATTACGGGATAGACCCGAGAACCCCAACAATCGGCTACAAGATACGAAGTACCAGTAGAACTAACCAGTGGAAGGGTTCAGATTAGTAAAACCGAGAACTCATATCGTTCTTCCTCAATTTTTTAGAAGCCTTGCCCTTTCCTTTCTTCACTGCCTCGACCTCCTCCACCCCATCCAAACTTGGTCCCATAGAGAGTACAACACCTTAGGTTATATCCCTTTGTATCCCCTCATCATACTCAATTCATTAATTTGAGATGGTATGATGCACTAGGTTAGGTCCTCCCCACCCACCCGTGCTTCCGCCTTAGCCCTAGTCCTAGCCGCCCGTTTCTAGCCGCCCGTTCCTAGCCTCTAGTCGCTAGCTGCCCGTCGCTAGCCTGCCCGCTCCTAGCCGCCCGTTGCTAGCCGCCTCTGCTACCCGCGCACCGCTCACCGCCGCTGGCTGCTAGCCGTCAGCCGCTTGTAGCCACCGGCCGCCCGTCGGCGCCAGCTGCCCGTCGCCAGCCCTGCGCCCGCCAGCCCCATCGCTCGCTTGGCCCGCACTCGCCAGCCCCGCGCCTGCCAGCCCCGTCGCTCACTGGCCCCACGCTCGCCCGCCCCGCGCCTGCCGGCCCGTCGCTCGCCGGCCCTGTGCTTGCCGGCCCCGTCGCTCCTTGGCCCGTAGCTCGCTGGCCCCTCGTGCGCCAGCCCCGCGCCTGCTGGCCCGTCGCTCGTCGGCCCTCCCTTCGCCAGCTCCGTGCTCGCTGGCCCCGCGGGCACTGGCCCTGCGTTCACTGGCCCCGTGCTCGCCAGCCCCTTGCTCGCTGGCCCTGCGCTCGCTGGCCCCGAGCCCGCTAGCCCCGCGCTCGCTGGCCCTTGCTCGCTAGAACCGCGCCTGCCAGCACCGCACTTGCTGGCCCGGTGCTTGCCAGATCCGCGCCCGTTAACCCTGCCTTTGCAGGTCCCTCGCTCGCCAGCCCCGCGCCCGCCATCCGTCATGCCGCCAAGCTGCCGCACTGCCGCGCCTCCGAGCCGCACTGCCGCCGTGACGCCGTGTCGCCAAGCCGCCGCGCCACCAGGCAGCCGTGCCGCGGTGCCGCCGTGACGCTGTGTCGCTACGCCGCCGAGCTGCTCTGCCGCCAAGACCTGCCGACCTTGGCTCCCCTCTGAGCCGGCCCTCCCGCCGGAAGTCTCCACCCCTCTCCACCACACGTCACTGTTCAGCACCGCACTCCACTGCACTCCACTGCTCTTCACCGCACTCCACTGTTCCCCACCGCTCTCCACCGCTCCCCACCGCTCTCCTCTGCCTCCTGCGGCTGTCAGTTGCTGCAGCTGTGGCGATGGCGTACGGTGGGCTTCGCCTGGTCGACCTTCGCCGCCAGCTGACCGGGCAGTGCCAGGACAGCCACTCCCTTGCCATCCATGTCAACGGAAAGCTCCCTCGCCCCGCCCCGCCTGCTGCACTCCTTCGACTTCTCCACAGCGTTTCTCCAGGGCAGTCTGCACGAGCAGGTTTAGTTGCGCCGTCCGCCTGGCTTTACCGGAACCTTCGCCCCTGGTACCGAGTGGCTTCCCCGGCGCTTTGTTTACGGCCTATGGCAGGCGCCTCTTGTGTGGCATGATACGATGCGTGCTACATTAGCTGACCTGCAGTTTTTCCCGTCGTCTCCAGACCCTTCGATCTTCGTTCATGCTTGCCAAACCCTGTTCTACATCCTTGTCTACATAGACGACCTGGTCTTCGCTACTGCAGACACAGACGCACTGGCCTCCGTGAAAACAGCTGTTGAGGAGACACACCTGCACTGACCTAGGAGAGTTGCGCCGCTACCTTGGCCTGCAGATCTTCAGGGGCAGAACAGCGCGCACTATCACTTTGACTCAGTCACACTTGGTGCGCCAGGTCCTTCAGAGGTTTGATCTTCAGTTCTCCTCCGCACAGCCCACACCTCTGCCAGTAGACCACAGGCTCTTAGCTCCAGTCTTTGAGGAGTCTGTAGAGCCCAGTGGTCCTTACGCAGAGCTGGTGGTTGCCTTATGTACCTGATGACTTGCACTCGTCCAGATCTCGCATACCCTCTCAGCATCCTAGCTCGCTTTTTGGCCACATGCAAACACCGAACACAGAACAGGTTGGCCGCTAAGAGGGTTTTGCGTTATCTAGCAATTATACGGGCATGGGGCTAGTGCTAGGAGGACACATGCCAGTGGTCCTTACAAGGCACACAGACGCTTCGTGGGCGGACGACGCTGAGACGCTCAGGTCCTCCCAGGGCTACTGCTTTAGCCTTGGTGCAGGCGTCATCTCGTGGAGGTCCACCCTCTCGTCGTCTGTTGCTCAGTCTAGCTGTGAGGCTAAGATCTACGCTGGTGCCATGGCGGCACAGGAGCTCCGCTGGCTGACCTTCTTGTTCACAGACTTAGGTGTGTGGCCTAGCTCTGCCCCGTTCCTGTACGCTGACAACAGGGCCATGATCCTCCTGTGTCAGGAGCCTCGACTGGAGGGCAGAGCGAAGCACATCCAGCTGTGGTACTTCCTACTCTGCAAGCTACAGCAGCGCCGCCAGGCCTGCGTAGTACACTTGGCCTCCGGTGCCAATACAACTGATATCTTTACGAAGGCGCTTGCGCCTAAAGATCATCAGCGGCACTGTGTACAGCTTGGCCTAGTTCCTGTAGCTTCTCACTTGCTAGGACCTTGATTGTGTACTACTCCTTATATCATCTTGACTGGCCTTGTGGCTCCTGTTCCATTGGCTGGACTAGTAGTGCTGCCCTGGGTTACTCTTGTTTCCTTTGTACTCTTGCTGAATGGTCTTCAGACCCTTGTCTCAGAGGTTGGACTAGTAGTGCCACCCTAAGCTGTGTGTCTTGTGCTAGTCGTTGCCCCTTGTCTAGCCTAGGGCGTGTGTCAACATATAATTATACTGTATATGTTATAGGCTAGATAGGTGTGTGCTCATAGAGAGTACAACACCTTAGGTTATATCCTTTTGTATCCCCTCATCATACTCAAATCACTACTTTGAGAGCCCCCTCTCCACCATCACCGCCACCATCCTCACTAGAAGCAGCCGCTGCTACACCCCGTTTCCCAGACCCAGTCGCTCCTTTCTTTCCTTCATTTCCCCCAGCCATAGCCCCTCCAGCCCCCCCAGCACCAGCAGCAGCAGCATCAGCAGCAGCAGCAGCCCCTGCAATGGCTCTTCTGGAAGCTACCCCTTGATCTTTACTGACTCCTTTCTGCGCCATGGCACTCCCTTTGTGACTCGCTCCGTTCACCCCACTCAGCCCATGGGCTCCATTCGCCTTCTTTGGCCCTAACTTGCTTGCACTGCCAGCACCGCTTGATGTTCTGCCCTTGTCTGGAGGCCTTTGGGTGGTAGAGGATGAAGGTCGCTGCCATGGACACTTGAAGTTCGCTGCTGTTCTTAATGCTCACTCCTACATTCTTGTCTGTCTCAATCCCCAGCTCCTCCTGAATCCCACAGCAAGGCGGGAAAAAGGCAGAGGATCATGAGGAAGTTGAGGTGAAGATAAACTGAGGACAGCAACGACTGTCACATAGAAACGCGTACATGGGAATGCATACATGGAATCATGTACATGGGAAGACTGATGCAGAGAGAGAGGGAAACCACAGACATGAACAAGCGTGGAAACGAGCTGATGGCTGTGCACAAGGGCAATGGCCTGTGTGAGGGCCAGCAGCAGAGAGAGAGGCAAGCATGAATGAGTTCATGCGTGCAGGCATGCGTCCGGGCCTGCAGGCGTGCAGGGAGTGACCTGGAATTCCTTGAGGTTGCGGGACATGCCATTGGTGACGGTGGAGAAGAAGACGTTGAACAGCTTCTTGCGCTGCTCTCGTGCCGCACAGACAGCGCGCACACAGGGCAGAGTATAGGGCAGAGAACGGGAGATGAGGGAGAAAGAGAGTGAGAGACGGCATGGAGAGGGTGAGCGGAAAGAGGGGGGGTCTGTGCAAAATGGTTTGACTGGTCAGGGTAATGGATGTCACCAAGGGGCAATGCAGCTTACCCAAGAAAGACATGAGATGCATGACCTGACCACATGTACAGATGCCAATCAGGTACCAACGCCCATTCTATCCCCAGCTCACTCCAATCCATTCTATCACGGATGTGGAGAGAGGAGGGCGAGGAGTGAGTGGAGGATCGATTCCAGACTACCTGCAACGGTGACCTTTGGCAAGACAAAAAAAAAAGAGAGGAAATGTTTCTGGACTTTTGAGTCGACTCAAAAGGCACCTCGTTATAATGTTACACAACACATTCGATTCAAGGAGAGCTATTATCACATGGAGGCTACCGAAGAGAATTGGGAAATTTTTAGTTTCTGCTCATAAGTGCTAGTATACAGTCATTTTTACTGTTTTGTGTTTATTTCATTCTTTGTTGCGTCCCCACTTTCTCCGCGATGGTTTCCCCGCGCAAGATGAATCCTGGGAGACATTCTCTAGGCGTATAAGTGGTGCTTGTTTTCATTAGGACTCTGTGGTGTGAAGAAGGCTTCAAGCCGAAACCAGTTGCTGCCAATTTTTTATTTCAAGAGTTTTTTACGTGCACTCTTTGAAAATGTATTTTCTTTTAAGGGTGTAACACTTCCTAAAAAGGTGTTTTCTGAAAGTGTAGCGAGGGCCAACGCAGCAAAGGCAGCGTCGAAGCGCTACTCACCCTCTTTTGCCTACAAAAGAGGGACGTGAGGCCATTCGGCCTCACCCACATTCTTCATTTCTAGTTTCTCTAAGTCAATTTCCCTCGTTCCCCACCAACCTGGCGAAAACCCACTTCCCCCCTCATGGCAAGGCTCCGACAACATTACTCGCCGACATTTTGCAGCGCAACCTCGCCACCATGACTTATGCGAATACGACTCCTTATCGCCCGACGAATATGGCATCCAGCCCCGACAATTCGGCAGAGCCCGGAACTTCGACCGGGGTAACAAGAGTGTGCTCACTGCTCTCTGGGTGTTGACGTTCTCCTTGGCGCCAATCACGCCCCTCTGAAGAAACACGCGCGGTTGCCAAGCAGTCGCGCGTGCTGCCATCCGAGGAGCACGCGCCTGCACATGCCGCGACGGCTGCAGGCCAGGCGAGCCCCGCTGACCACATGCCCGTTGACGAAGTCGCGCCGGTCGCTGCCGTCCCCGCGTTGACTGCGCAGCAGCTGCAGGCACAACTCGCGATGTTACACCAGTAGCAGCCTATTACGATTGGTACATCATCTGATAATATGAATTCTACTACAAATTTTGTCAAGAAAAATGAAATGACAACGCCTCCTCGCGCACCCAACACCCCGCGTGCTGACAACCAGCCCCCGGCACCAACCCCCGCGCCTGCCAACGACAGTGATGACAGCAACAATTCTGACAACAAAGATGGTGAGGCCCCCACCAACATGCTCGCCACCACACACTTGCTCCCGCTCCCCCTCTCCCCTCCCTTGGTCCCACGTCCACAGCAACTACCTTCATGCGCAAGGGCGTGCACGACCAGGCCGAAGTCTTTACCGCCATCCAAGCGCACCTGCAGCATATCGACTTCGAGCTGCAGCACGACAAAGTCATCACCGCACTCAACCATGTGAAGCACATCGAAATGCTTACTAGTAAGCGCTTTCAGGTGCTCCTCGTGGCAAACGAGGCCGGTTTTGAGGATGCGGATCGCTTCCAGCTCTGCCAGTTGAAGAGTGTGTTGACGTCCCGCTCCTACAAGCTCGCCGTTGCCGACGTGGCCGCACTCAACCGCACCCGCGCCGCCTACCCCCACGCTGGTCGCCTCGGTGGCCGCGACTGCAACATGGACCTCAAGGGCTCCCCTCCCCTCACGTGCCAGCAGCCATGCTTCAAGGGAGTGTGCTTCCGCTGTGGCCAGCCAGGTCACATGGCCAACGCGTGCCCTATGGGCGAGCATGGGGCACAAGGCTCCTCACCAGTGGTGTGACCGGGGTGTGAGGGCGGTGCCCTTCGCCAATATGCAAGAAGCATATTGGGCTGCACCGGGGGTGCATGGCTGGTGGCCGGCCTTAGGACTAGGCAAATGGCCTAGTATAGTAGGATAGCCCTAGGGACAGAGAAGGCAGTGGGCGTAGAACCTTGTGTTATTCCATGTATGGAAAATGTATGTCGTTATGGCACGTTGAACTAAGTTTGCTATTACAAAAAAAACTCCTACGAGGCCTTGATGAAAGAGAAAGAGAGTTGGAGAGAGAGAGAGAGAGAGAGAGAGAGAGAGAGAGAGAGAGAGAGAGAGAGAGAGAGAGAGAGAGGGAGAGAGAGAGAGAGAGAGAGAGAGAGAGAGAGAGAGAGAGAGAGAGAGAGAGAGAGAGAGAGAGAGAGAAGAGAGCTATATAAGGCCTTTCCTCCCTGCTCTTCGTTGATTATTCTTTTAGCCTGTGACAAGTCCTCAGGTTTTGGCGGCCGGCTCGCGCTGGCGGCCTTCGGCCACCATAGGAGTGAGCGGCAAGTATAATAAGAAAACTTCCTATAGGCATAGCATACATCAATAAACACAGGTCCTGCAGCGCTAACCACCTAGACACCACGACCTAGGCATGAGCCACACCTAGGGAAACGGAGCAACCTGTGCGACCCCGCCCTCGGTGTGACAACCCCACCATGGGCGTGAAGCGCACCAAAACAGCGCCGAGGTTCACCCCGGGGCAAAAGCCGGGCCATCACTGGCTGCACGGCCCGCAGAACAGCAGCTGCAGCAACAGCAAGTCCCGCAGCCGTCTCAGCACCAACCGCCCGCGACAGCGCCGACACCGCCAGTGGCGCAGCTGCTGCCTCGTCAACAGCCACGCGGGGCTGAAGAGGCACGTACACCAGCCCCCACAGCAGCATCGCCACCGCTTCGTCCGCCCGAGCCCGCTGGCGTCGCGATAGCACTGGATCGCGGGCCACAGGAGGGCGACGCTCCTGAGCCACATGGAATACCTCCAGCAGCTCCGCCACCCAACCAAGACATTCGACGAGCCCGGTTAGCTGCTGCTGACGGGAGTACACCGGACCGTCACGTGACCGGCGCAAACGAGGGATCTTGGGAGGAGGGGATCGGCGAAGGCGAACACCCCGAGGGAGACCCGTTGAAGAGGTGGCTCCGCTCGGGAACAGCGCACGGAAGCGTGGGTCGGGCGGCAGCGGATGATAGGGACCTCGCAACGCGGAACCCCCGTTCCGTGAACGAAACGGTCGCCTCCCCATGGCGTGATCAGCCGCCAACTCGGAGCCGTGGCGGGAGTGCTTCGCCTCCCACACCCGCTGGTGACTCTGGGGAGAGAGGAGCAGCTCCAGCTCCAGCTCCATCAGCGCTCGCGGCGTGTCGCGGTACGAACGGAGGCGCACGGCCCGACTGTGCGGACGCGGCGAACGGGCCCGCAGCACCGTCAAACACGCCAGGCACGGGCGAGGATGCCGGCACGGCTGGGGGAACAGTGCAACCAGGCGGGCGTGGAGGGCGGGCAGGGAGACGAGGACGACGAAGGGGAACAGGGGGAAACGTGGGAACGCGGAGGTCCCAGTGGAGGCGACCTATCGCACGGGCGGGGGACTGGCGGGAACGGCACAGACGCCAGCTGCTAACGGGGACAATTGATGGCGGGAACGGTGGAAACGGGAGCGGGAGTGGGTATGAGTCAGAATGGGGCGGAAGCAAAGAAAATGTACCTGGGTCATCAGAGGAACCTGGGGCAGAAGGGATCTCTGAGGGGGCTTCCGAGGAAGACGCGAACCGCCGAAGGAGAAGGAGGAGGAGAGTCCGAGCCACGAACTCGGCTGAGGGACCAGACTCGCCGGCCAATCAGAGCCAGGGAGCACGAAATCAAATTCGTCCCCCAGAAAATCTGGCTAGTGATGAAGCGCTGTGGCAATGCACCATCCTGCTGACCTCACCCTCACTGACTTTGTCGACACCCTGTCTGCCGTAGAGACCCGTCAGCGCTCTATCGCCCAGTCTAGCGGTACCGTGCTAGTCTCTATCTTTCAAGGCTTTGCCCCTGCTCAGTGCTTTTACTCCGACAGTTCTGCGGCGATTGCTGAGATGGCTCCGGCTGTGGAGACCGCCGCCGCCGTGTAGTTTCGTCCGGGTAAGGGTCGCCGCCCCAAGGCTGGGCGCGGCGGAGGTAGTGGAGGAGGGGGTGGTGCCGGTGGTGGAGGTGGCTCGCCTGCTGGTAGTCCTGACGAGGGGGCTGGGGCTGGTGCCCCGGCGCAGCAGCAGCAGTAGGCGACACAGTTTGACCAGTAGTAGCAGCAGCCGCAACAGCGGCGGGTCGGTCGTCTCCCGCCCGGGTGGCCTAGAGCTGGAGGAGACGGTGGTCGCAGTGGTTGCTCGTGTGGTGTGCCATCGGGTGGTGGCCAGAGTGATGGGCGCTGCCAGTACCAGATCCAGACCGGTCCTCGCCGCGGCCTCGTGTGCGGTAAGATCGGCCATACCCCCGCCCGTTGCTTTCGTCGCCTAGACGACCTGTTTCGTCTCCGCTTCGGCCCGTCGCCTGACCTCCCCAACTGGCACAGTGTGCTCCGTCATTAGGTTCAGATATTTGATATGGACATGGATGAGCTTAGCTCTGCTTTGTATGCGATGTATGTTGATGACTCTAGTGTGACTGGTTCCTATTACCCTGTGTTGCCTAGCGTAGGTGTGCCCAGTGTGCCTAGTTTAGGCTCCCCTACTGCGTCAGGCTTAGGATCCCTTGCCTTGTTTAGCCTAGGGTCCACCCTCACTCCTCCGACCTCGGTCGCTGCTGCCACGATCTCCTTCACCCTGGACTCCGGCGCTTCCCGGTGTTTCTTTTGCGACTCCACTACGCTTACGCCACTTGCCGCTCCGGCTGCAGTTGCTCTTACAGACCCTTCCTCCGGCCCTGTATTTGCCCGTAGCTCCACTACTCTCCCCTGTTTGGCGGTTCCCTCAGGCCCCCTTACATGCCTGCACATCCCCTCGTTCTCTAGGAACCTAGTTGGTGTCGGCTGCCTCCAGGACCTTGGCGTCACCACTACGTTCCCTGGGTACGAGCGGTACGCTGTCTGTACCGAGGCCGCTACTGGTGCCCCCTCACCACATTTCCCCGGAACCAGGTGTCTGGCAGTAGAATGGGGTCGCTGGGCAACGCATCGGTTTGGTCATGGGGGTTGATCGTACCTCCATGATCAATACTGGTACACCCCATTTTCTGTAGCTGTTTGCCGTTCGCTACGCCGCACCCTCAGCGGTCGCAGGTTTCGCCGACCCTCCTCTGGACTGGGTCCCCTGGTGACGCATCTGCGTTCCACATCTGGGGCTGCCTTCGTCAACGGAGTTCCCCCATCTGGGGTGAACGTAGTCGATGGCCGGTGACTGTTCAAGGTGAAGCGCCCTCCTGGAGAGCCGCTTATCTTCAAGGCGCGCTACATCGCTCGAGGCTTCAGTCAGCGTGAGGGGGTGGACTTCTTTCAGACCTTTGCCCCGACCCTGAAGATGACCACTCTTCGGGCGCTGCTACACGTAGCAGTACAGTGTGACTACGAGCTGCACTCCCTCGACTTCTCCACTGCATTCCTTCAGGGCAGCCTACATGAGCAGGTCTACCTGCGCCGCCCCCAGGGCTTCTCCGGTACCTTCCCCCCTGGCACCGAGTGGCTCCTCCGGCGCCCAGTCTACGGCTTGCGACAGGTGCCCCGTGAGTGGCACGACACGCTGCGTGCTACACTTGCTCACTTGCAGTTCTTCCCTTCGTCCGCTAAACCCCTTGCTCTTTGTCTGTTCCGGCTAGACTCCGTTCTACATCCTTGTCTACGTAGATGATATGGTCTTTGCTACTGCAGACAGAGACGCACTGGCCACCATGAAGGCCGAGCTGCTGAGGAGACACACCTGCACTGACCTAGGAGAGCTGCGCTGCTACCTTGGCTTGTAGATCTCTAGGGACGGAGCCGCGCGCACCATCACTCTCTCACAGTCACACTTGGTGCGCCAGGTCCTTCAGAGGTTCGGCCTTCAGCTCTCTTCCACACAGCCCACCCCTCTGCCTGTAGACCACAGACTCTTTGCCCAAGTCCCAGAGGAGGCTGTAGAGCCTAGTGGTCCCTACGCAGAGCTAGTGGGTTACCTCATATACCCGATGACTTGCACTTGTCTAGATCTCGCATACCCTCTCAGCATCCTGGCTCGCTTTGTGGCCACAGGCAGACACCGACCACAGCATTGGTCGGCAGCTACGAGGGTTTTGCGTTATCTAGCAAGTACATCGGGCATGGGGCTAGTGCTAGGAGGACGGAGACCAGTGGTCCTTACAAGGCACACAAACGCTTCTTGGGCAGAAGACGCCGAGACTCTCAGGGCCACTCCTTTAGCCTTGGTGCAGGTGCCATCTCGTGGAGGTCCACCCACTCCTCGTCTGTTGCCGAGTTTAGCTGTGAGGCTGAGATCTACGCAGGTGCCATGGCGGCACAGGAGCTCCGCTGGCTGACCTTCTTGCTCACCGACTTGGGTGAGCGGCCTAGCTCTGCCCCGGTTCTGTACGCTGACAATAGGGCCATGATCCTCTTGTGTCAGGAGCCACGACTTGAGGGCAGAGCAAAGCACATCCAGCTGCAGTACTTCCTCCTGCGCGAGCTGCAGCAGCATCGCCAGGCTCGTGTAGTACACTTGGCCTCAGGTGCCAATACAGCTGATATCTTTACTAAGGTGCTTGCGCCTAAAGATCATAAGCGGCACTGTGTACAGCTAGGTCTTGTTCTTGTAGCCTCTCACTTTCTAGGACCTTGATTGTGTACAGACCTTTATATATATTACGCAGACTGGCCTTGTGGCCTCTTCCTAGTGGCTGGACTAGCAGTGCCACCTTGGTCTTGCTCTTGCCTTGTCTGTACTTGTTTGACTGGTCTTTAGACCCCTGCCTCATAGGCTGGACTAGTAGTGCCACCCTGAGCTGTTTCACTCTCATCAGGCACTACCCCTATCCAGTCTAGGGGGTGTGTGAAAAATACAAATATATATTGTATGTTACAATAGACTATATAGGGTTGTGCCTTTGGGAGTACAACCCATTAGGCTATATACCCTTGTATATCCTGTTCTAGTTAACTTTTCTCACTTTAAGAGATTGTTGTTCGTTGCATTTCCCCATGGTCTGGAAGTGGAGCGCAGTTTTGTCAGTCTTGATGTTGTTCTTCTGTGTGAAGTTTGGTGCTGTCCTTGCTGACGTAGTTTTTTCACCAGGTCTGGGGTAGTGCTCCTGTTGTACCAGTACGAAATTTCTTTCGTGTCTTTCTCATGCCTCTCTTCTCAACTCATTGCTCCTTGTCAAACATATATTCATATGTTACAATAGGCTAGAGAGAAGTGTACTCTTAGAGAGTACAACCACTTGGACAAAATCACCATGTATCGACATTCTAGTCAACAATTTCTATGTTAAAGCCCGACCGGCAGGTTGCATATGTCAACTTTGTATGTAGAAGTTATAGGTTAGATAGGTTTGTGTTGTGTTCTTAGAGAGTACAACTCCAACCCTATATCTCCCCTGTACTCTCTTGTTTCTAGTCATTCTTGTATCCTAACAGCATATTGGTACTATTGAAGTAGGTGGGGCAGCAGATTACGATTGGTTGACGAGGAAAAGGATAAGCCAGCTGTTTTTGCAGAACTTCATATTCATCCAGCTCGTGCTTGCGCGGTAGTCCCCAAGGGCTACGCAACCTCACAGAGTTGTCAGGTTTGAGCCCCGTTAGTTGGCAGGGGACTCACTTCTGCCTCTTTGCCAAATTGCAAGGGGGGTTTGCGTGCCTGCGTTTTTGCGTAAACAACCCACATTGTGTGTGTGAGTGTGTCTGTTTTTTCTTTCTTCTTCTTCTTCTTCTTCTTCTTCTTCTTCTTCTTCGTCTTCTTCTTCTTCTTCTTCTTCTTCTTCGTCTTCTTCTTCTTCTTCTTCTTCTTCTTCTTCTTCTTCTTCTTCTTCTTCTTCTTCTTCTTCTTCTTCTTCTTCTTCTTCTTCTTCTTCTTCTTCTTCTTCTTCTTCTTCTTTTTTTTCTTCTTCTTCTTCTTCTTTTTCTTCTTTCTTCTTTCTTTTTTTCTAGGGCAAGTTGAAAGAAAACAAGACTCAACTATTGGGCTTCAGTTTCACCCTTGTGCAATCAAACACACATTTGTACACTTGCGCTTAACCTCCCAAAAGTCAAAATTCGTTAGAGTAATTGCTTTGAGCACACTTTTGTTAAGATAAGCTAGCTAGGGAAAGAAGCCATGGAATGGCGAGAGGTTTAGGAAGGAGAGAAACTGTCGAGAGAGAAGAGGGTTTGGAATAGAGAGAAAGGGATACAAGAAGGTAGGTTGTACCCTCTACAAAAGAATCTAGTAACACCTACCAAGCCTAACATTATATATATATCAAATATATAATTTCACAACTTTGTGCTTCTTCACCTCGATCCTTGGCAGGGACACAAACCTGCCAAGTTTGTCCAGCCACAGAGTTGAGCTGTTTGAGCCTTGTCAACCACTGCCGCGGGTGGATTGGGTTACAGGTTCTCATGATGCAGCATCTTGAGAAAAAGAGCGTTGCAACCTGCCGGTCGGGCTTTAAGATAGTATCACGCTAGGTAGGATCCCGCCCACCCGCGCTTCCGCCCCTATCCCTAGCCTGAACCGCCCTGTCCTAGCTGCCCGTTGCCCATAGCCATCAGCCGCCCGTCGCCCCGCGCTCGTAGGCCCGCTCGTCGCCCCGCCCTCGTAGGCCTGCTCGTCGCCCCGCGCTAGAAAGCCCGCTCGCCGCCCCGCGCTCGCTGGCTCGCCCTCGTCGCCCCGCGCTCTCAGGCCCGCCCTCGTCGCCCCGCGCTTGCTGGCCCGGCCTTGTCGCCCCACGCTTGCTGGCCCGCCCTCGTTGCCCCGCGCTCGCTGGCCCGTGCTAGCGGGCCCACGCTCGCCGACCCCGCGCTCGATGGTCCACGCCTGCTGGCCCCTTGCTCGCTGGCCCCTCATTAGCCAGCCCCGAGCTTGCTGGCCCCTCGTTAGCCGGCCCCGAGCTCGCCAACCTCTCATTCGCCGGCCCCCCCTTACTAGCCGGCCCCAAGCTCGCCCCCCCCCTGCCTCTAGACGGCCCCCTTACTAGCCAGCCCCTTCCTAGCCGGCCGCTATCTTGCCGACCTCGTTTGCGCCAACCCTGGTCCCGCCGTGCCGCCGTGCTGAGCCGCTGTGCCGCGGTGCCACCATATCGCCATGCTGTGGTGCCGTTGTGCCGCAGCACTTCTGTGTTGTCGTCCTGCCATGACGTCGTGCCGCCGTGCTGCCGTGCCGCCGTGTCGCTGTGCCGCCGTGCCGTCGTGGCGCCGTGCTACCGTATCGCCGTGTAGCCCTGGCATCGTGGCGCCATGTCGCCGTGCCGCCGTGTCGCCGTGGCACTGTGCTGCCACGCTGCCGTGCCGCCGTGTCGTCGTGCCTGATCCTCCCCATGCAGTTCCCTGATCTTGCGTCCTTCCCCACTATCACTGACCTTGCCACTCACCTCCACGCACTTGAGACTAGCTACCACGCTGCGAGCACTGAGGCTCAGCTTACTGCCTTTCTGCCGCCGCTTTGCGCTACCCTTTACCTCATTACCACGCACCTTATGGACCGCCTAGTCACTGCCTGTGACCACTTAGTGAGCACCCAGGTGACCTCACTCTTACCGCCTTCGTCACCGCCTTGTCCGCGATAGAGACCCACCACCGCACTATCGCTCAGTCTAGCGGTGCTGCGCTGGTCCCTATCTTTCAGGGCTTTGATCACTCCCAGTGCACTTACTCTGACGTTTCTGCTGCTGTTGCTGAGACAGCCCCTACTGCTGAGACCGCCGTCGCGGCCTCAGCGCAGCAACGTCAGGGTAGGGGCCGCTGCCCCAAGGAGGGGCGTGGCGGAGGGAAGGGTGGTGCGGGTGGTGTGGGTGGCTGAGGTGCGGGTAGGGATGGTGGCTCAGACGAGGGGAATGGGGCTGGTGCCCCGAAGCAGCAGCAGCAGCAGCCGCAGCCTCAGCAACCGACTCAGTAGTAGCAGCACCACCAGCAGCCACCGCAGCAGCAGCAGTCGCTGTGGGGACCCCCGCCGCCGTGGTGGACTGGCGGCGCTGGTGGTGGTGGTCGTGGTAAGGGGGGGGGCGCAGCTCGGTGTCGGGTGGCGGCTCCAGTGTGGTCACTTGTCAGTACCAGCTTCAGTCCAGCCCCTACCGCGGCACTGTGTGCGACCGCCCTGGTCACACCGCCGCGCGCTGCTACCACCGCATCGACGACCTCTTTCGTCTTCGCTTCGGCCCCACGGCGGACCCCCCGCGGCACTGTGTGCGACCGCCCTGGTCACACCGCCGCGTGCTGCTACCGCCGCATTGACGACCTCTTTCGTCTTCGCTTCGGCCCCACGGCGGACCCCCCCGACTGGTATAGCCTTGTGCATTGTTGTGTGCATGTCTTTGAGATGGACATGGATCAGATTAGGTCTACGATGTATCTCATGTATGCTGATGACTCTAGTGCGACTGTACCCTATTACCCAGTGTTGCCTAATATAGGTGTGTCTTTTGTGCGTAGTGTAGATTCCCCTGCTGCGTCAGGTGTAGGACCCCCTGCTTGTTTAGCTTAGGCTCCTTGCTAGCCCCTAAGCTAGCTGGCGCTACTACTTTGCTCTCCTTTACGCTCGACTCTGACGCGTCCGCCTGCTTCTTTCGCGACCACACCACCACTGTAGCGCTTGCTGACCCCTCTTCATATCTGGTAGTTGCCCGTAGCTCCACTACCCTTCCCTGTCTGGCGGTTCCCTCGGGCTCTCTTACAGGGTTGCACAGCCCCTCGCTCTCTAGGAACCTAGTCACTGTCAGCTGTCTTCAGGACCTTGGCGTCACCACCACGTTCCCTGGACACGAGCAGTACGCCATCTGTACCGAGGCCGCCACTGGTACCCCTATTACCACATTCCCCTAGGACCCCGTGTCTGGCCTGTTCATGCTGGACACGTCGTCCCACCCAGTGGGAGCGTCCCCACAGGTCGCCGCATCCACTTAGGTAGCTGCAGCCTGCTAGTGTCGGTCGCTCACCCACCCTTCATTTCTGTGGCACCACCGCCTAGGTTACATCGCTCTCCCACGTCTGCGTCACATGTCCCATCATGGGCTTGTATGTGGTCTCCCTGCGTTGCTCCTTGCCATCCCTCTCTCGCCTGCGCCGTCATGCACGCCCTGAGTCGAGGGCCGGATGCGCCATGATCCTCACTCCTCGCTCCCCCCTACCACTGCGCCACTCCAGACCCTGCACCTGGACGTTAGGGGTCCCGCCCCCGTCCCTGGGTCGTGTCAAGAGTGCTACTTTCTAGTGCTAGTCGATGACTTTACGTGCTACACCACGGTGTTCCACTGGAGCGAAAGTCCGACGTGTCTGACGCTCTTATCTCGTGGGTCGTGGCTGCGCGAGTCCATCGCGGCCTCCCCGTGCTGCGTCTCCACTCCGACCATGGCGCCGAGTTCGCCTCCGGTAGGCTTGGCCAGAACTGTCGTGCGGAGGACATCACCAAGTCGTACACCTTGCCAGACTCCCCACAGCAGAATGGGGTTGCTAAGAGACGCATCGGTTTGGTAATGGAGATCGCACGTACCTCCATGATGCATGCCGATGCACCCCATTTTCTCTGGTCGTTCGCGGTTCGCTACGCTGCTCACCAGCTTAACCTATGGCCACACTCCCAGCGGCCGCAGGTTTCGCCGACCCTTCTCTGGACCGGGTTCCCTTGTGACGCGTCTAGGTTCCACGTCTGGGGATGCCTTGCTCACGTTCGTGCCAGAAGAAGAAGAAGAAGAAGAAGAAGAAGAAGAAGAAGAAGAAGAAGAAGAAGAAGAAGAAGAAGAAGAAGAAGAAGAAGAAGAAGAAGAAGAAGAAGAAGAAGAAGAAGAAGAAGAAGAAGAAGAAGAAGAAGAAGAAGAAGAAGAAGAAAGAAGAAGAAGAAGAAAGAAGAAGAAGAAGAAGAAGAAGAAGAAGAAGAAGAAGAAGAAGAAGAAGAAGAAGAAGAAGAAGAAGAAGAAGAAGAAGAAGAAGAAGAAGAAGAAGAAGAAGAAGAAGAAGAAGAAGAAGAAGAAGAAGAAGAAGAAGAAGAAGAAGAAGAAGAAGAAGAAGAAAGAAGAAGAAGAAAGAAGAAGAAGAAGAAGAAGAAGAAAGAAGAAGAAGAAAAAGAAGAAGAAGAAGAAGAAGAAGAAGAAGAAGAAGAAGAAGAAAGAAGAAGAAGAAGAAGAAGAAGAAGAAAGAAGAAGAAGAAGAAGAAGAAGAAAGAAGAAGAAGAAGAAGAAGAAGAAGAAGAAGAAGAAGAAGAAGAAGAATAAGAAGAAGAAGAAGAAGAAGAAGAAGAAGAAGAAGAAGAAGAAGAAGAAGAAGAAGAAGAAGAAGAAGAAGAAGAAGAAGAAGAAGAAGAAGAAGAAGAAGAAGAAGAAGAAGAAGAAGAAGAAGAAGAAGAAGAAGAAGAAGAAGAAGAAGAAGAAGAAGAAGAAGAAGAAGAAGAAGAAAGAAAGAAAAAACAGACACACTCACACACACAATGTGGGTTGTTTACGCAAAAACGCAGGCACGCAAACCCCCCTTGCAATTTGGCAAAGAGGCAGAAGTGAGTCCCCTGCCAACTAACGGGGCTCAAACCTGACAACTCTGTGAGGTTGCGTAGCCCTTGGGGCCTACCGCGCAAGCACGAGCTGGATGAATATGAAGTTCTGCAAAAACAGCTGGCTTATCCTTTTCCTCGTCAACCAATCGTAATCTGCTGCCCCACCTACTTCAATAGTACCAATATGCTGTTAGGATACAAGAATGACTAGAAACAAGAGAGTACAGGGGAGATATAGGGTTGGAGTTGTACTCTCTAAGAACACAACACAAACATATCTAACCTATAACTTCTACATACAAAGTTGACATATGCAACCTGCCGGTCGGGCTTTAACATAGAAATTGTTGACTAGAATGTCGATACATGGTGATTTTGTCCAAGTGGTTGTACTCTCTAAGAGTACACTTCTCTCTAGCCTATTGTAACATATGAATATATGTTTGACAAGGAGCAATGAGTTGAGAAGAGAGGCATGAGAAAGACACGAAAGAAATTTCGTACTGGTACAACAGGAGCACTACCCCAGACCTGGTGAAAAAACTACGTCAGCAAGGACAGCACCAAACTTCACACAGAAGAACAACATCAAGACTGACAAAACTGCGCTCCACTTCCAGACCATGGGGAAATGCAACGAACAACAATCTCTTAAAGTGAGAAAAGTTAACTAGAACAGGATATACAAGGGTATATAGCCTAATGGGTTGTACTCCCAAAGGCACAACCCTATATAGTCTATTGTAACATACAATATATATTTGTATTTTTCACACACCCCCTAGACTGGATAGGGGTAGTGCCTGATGAGAGTGAAACAGCTCAGGGTGGCACTACTAGTCCAGCCTATGAGGCAGGGGTCTAAAGACCAGTCAAACAAGTACAGACAAGGCAAGAGCAAGACCAAGGTGGCACTGCTAGTCCAGCCACTAGGAAGAGGCCACAAGGCCAGTCTGCGTAATATATATAAAGGTCTGTACACAATCAAGGTCCTAGAAAGTGAGAGGCTACAAGAACAAGACCTAGCTGTACACAGTGCCGCTTATGATCTTTAGGCGCAAGCACCTTAGTAAAGATATCAGCTGTATTGGCACCTGAGGCCAAGTGTACTACACGAGCCTGGCGATGCTGCTGCAGCTCGCGCAGGAGGAAGTACTGCAGCTGGATGTGCTTTGCTCTGCCCTCAAGTCGTGGCTCCTGACACAAGAGGATCATGGCCCTATTGTCAGCGTACAGAACCGGGGCAGAGCTAGGCCGCTCACCCAAGTCGGTGAGCAAGAAGGTCAGCCAGCGGAGCTCCTGTGCCGCCATGGCACCTGCGTAGATCTCAGCCTCACAGCTAAACTCGGCAACAGACGAGGAGTGGGTGGACCTCCACGAGATGGCACCTGCACCAAGGCTAAAGGAGTGGCCCTGAGAGTCTCGGCGTCTTCTGCCCAAGAAGCGTTTGTGTGCCTTGTAAGGACCACTGGTCTCCGTCCTCCTAGCACTAGCCCCATGCCCGATGTACTTGCTAGATAACGCAAAACCCTCGTAGCTGCCGACCAATGCTGTGGTCGGTGTCTGCCTGTGGCCACAAAGCGAGCCAGGATGCTGAGAGGGTATGCGAGATCTAGACAAGTGCAAGTCATCGGGTATATGAGGTAACCCACTAGCTCTGCGTAGGGACCACTAGGCTCTACAGCCTCCTCTGGGACTTGGGCAAAGAGTCTGTGGTCTACAGGCAGAGGGGTGGGCTGTGTGGAAGAGAGCTGAAGGCCGAACCTCTGAAGGACCTGGCGCACCAAGTGTGACTGTGAGAGAGTGATGGTGCGCGCGGCTCCGTCCCTAGAGATCTACAAGCCAAGGTAGCAGCGCAGCTCTCCTAGGTCAGTGCAGGTGTGTCTCCTCAGCAGCTCGGCCTTCATGGTGGCCAGTGCGTCTCTGTCTGCAGTAGCAAAGACCATATCATCTACGTAGACAAGGATGTAGAACGGAGTCTAGCCGGAACAGACAAAGAGCAAGGGGTTTAGCGGACGAAGGGAAGAACTGCAAGTGAGCAAGTGTAGCACGCAGCGTGTCGTGCCACTCACGGGGCACCTGTCGCAAGCCGTAGACTGGGCGCCGGAGGAGCCACTCGGTGCCAGGGGGGAAGGTACCGGAGAAGCCCTGGGGGCGGCGCAGGTAGACCTGCTCATGTAGGCTGCCCTGAAGGAATGCAGTGGAGAAGTCGAGGGAGTGCAGCTCGTAGTCACACTGTACTGCTACGTGTAGCAGCGCCCGAAGAGTGGTCATCTTCAGGGTCGGGGCAAAGGTCTGAAAGAAGTCCACCCCCTCACGCTGACTGAAGCCTCGAGCGATGTAGCGCGCCTTGAAGATAAGCGGCTCTCCAGGAGGGCGCTTCACCTTGAACAGTCACCGGCCATCGACTACGTTCACCCCAGATGGGGGAACTCCGTTGACGAAGGCAGCCCCAGATGTGGAACGCAGATGCGTCACCAGGGGACCCAGTCCAGAGGAGGGTCGGCGAAACCTGCGACCGCTGAGGGTGCGGCGTAGCGAACGGCAAACAGCTACAGAAAATGGGGTGTACCAGTATTGATCATGGAGGTACGATCAACCCCCATGACCAAACCGATGCGTTGCCCAGCGACCCCATTCTACTGCCAGACACCTGGTTCCGGGGAAATGTGGTGAGGGGGGCACCAGTAGCGGCCTCGGTACAGACAGCGTACCGCTCGTACCCAGGGAACGTAGTGGTGACGCCAAGGTCCTGGAGGCAGCCGACACCAACTAGGTTCCTAGAGAACGAGGGGATGTGCAGGCATGTAAGGGGGCCTGAGGGAACCGCCAAACAGGGGAGAGTAGTGGAGCTACGGGCAAATACAGGGCCGGAGGAAGGGTCTGTAAGAGCAACTGCAGCCGGAGCGGCAAGTGGCGTAAGCGTAGTGGAGTCGCAAAAGAAACACCGGGAAGCGCCGGAGTCCAGGGTGAAGGAGATCGTGGCAGCAGCGACCGAGGTCGGAGGAGTGAGGGTGGACCCTAGGCTAAACAAGGCAAGGGATCCTAAGCCTGACGCAGTAGGGGAGCCTAAACTAGGCACACTGGGCACACCTACGCTAGGCAACACAGGGTAATAGGAACCAGTCACACTAGAGTCATCAACATACATCGCATACAAAGCAGAGCTAAGCTCATCCATGTCCATATCAAATATCTGAACCTAATGACGGAGCACACTGTGCCAGTTGGGGAGGTCAGGCGACGGGCCGAAGCGGAGACGAAACAGGTCGTCTAGGCGACGAAAGCAACGGGCGGGGGTATGGCCGATCTTACCGCACACGAGGCCGCGGCGAGGACCGGTCTGGATCTGGTACTGGCAGCGCCCATCACTCTGGCCACCACCCGATGGCACACCACACGAGCAACCACTGCGACCACCGTCTCCTCCAGCTCTAGGCCACCCGGGCGGGAGACGACCGACCCGCCGCTGTTGCGGCTGCTGCTACTACTGGTCAAACTGTGTCGCCTACTGCTGCTGCTGCGCCGGGGCACCAGCCCAGCCCCCTCGTCAGGACTACCAGCAGGCGAGCCACCTCCACCACCGGCACCAACCCCTCCTCCACTACCTCCGCCGCGCCCAGCCTTGGGGCGGCGACCCTTACCCGGACGAAACTACACGGCGGCGGCGGTCTCCACAGCCGGAGCCATCTCAGCAATCGCCGCAGAACTGTCGGAGTAAAAGCACTGAGCAGGGGCAAAGCCTTGAAAGATAGAGACTAGCACGGTACCGCTAGACTGGGCGATAGAGCGCTGACGGGTCTCTACGGCAGACAGGGTGTCGACAAAGTCAGTGAGGGTGAGGTCAGCAGGATGGTGCATTGCCACAGCGCTTCATCACTAGCCAGATTTTCTGGGGGACGAATTTGATTTCGTGCTCCCTGGCTCTGATTGGCCGGCGAGTCTGGTCCCTCAGCCGAGTTCGTGGCTCGGACTCTCCTCCTCCTTCTCCTTCGGCGGTTCGCGTCTTCCTCGGAAGCCCCCTCAGAGATCCCTTCTGCCCCAGGTTCCTCTGATGACCCAGGTCCTAACTGACCTTAAGCGGGGGCGCTCGGACAGGGGAAGGGCGTGACTAATCGCAAGCTGAGCGACAACGTTACGTGACAACCAGACAGCACGAGCAAGGGCAGCAGCTGCAGCAGACTCATAGTCAGCAGAGATGGGGTCAGCGGGGAGGGCAGCAGGTGGGTCTGGGTAGAGGAGCGTGCCGTCGATGTGGACGGCCGGAGAGTGGCCGTCCTGCCGCTGACCAGTCAAGTGGCGCTGAAGGTCGACGAGCCACGAGTCGAACTCAATCGGCTGCCCTTCCGCATCGAAACGTAGGACCGAGTCCGCCATCATGGTTGCAGCAGCATGAGAAGGATAGTACAGGGCAGTAGAGGGCGGCGGAAAGCGATGATGTGCGGTGTAGTGCGGTACTGTGCGGTAGAGGGAAGTGTAGTACAGTAGTGTGCGGTGTAGTGCGGTGCAGCGTGATGTAGTGCGGTGCAATGCGGTGCAGTGCGGTGCAGAGCAGTACCGGGCGGTGCCGCACGGTGCAGAGGGCTGAGGACGGCGGCAAGGCGGTCAGGAGACGGAGCCGCGGGCGGCAAGGTGACGCGGCCAGCGGGGGAACGGGGCCGATCGGGGGACGGGGCCGATCGGGCGACGGGGCCGGCGAGGCGTTGGGGTCAGCTAGGATACGGGGCCGACTAGGGGAACGGGGCTTCTGGCGGAACACTCCCTGCGACATTCCCAGAAGCTCGCAGTTCACGACGTCACTTGGAGTTCCGCGGAAATGTGCGGAGCTTCGACCGACGACATCCGTCCGATGGAGATTCGACGCTTCAGATCGACCGAGGCGAAAACGAAATCCTTCTGAGCGAGTTCGAGTTTCAGCGCGAGCGGGAACGGGACCTCGCAAGCCGCGAAATTCTTCGGAGCGTCCGATCGTTCGACAGCCGACATCGACGACCGAGAATTGCTGCAGGAAATGAGTCAACCCGGGCACTGAAAGCTGCTGAACGCGACTCA